CCCAAAAAAAAAAACACACACAAAAAACCCCTAAAAAATAAGAAAACAAGAAGAAAAAACCAAACAGCCAGACATTGAAGGACGAACCAGTAATTCTCTCCAACTGTCAGTCGATGACGTTGGTAGTCCGTTCCCATGACAATGAGACTCGATGATTGGATCACACGTTCTCTCCCCTCTTCACCTTTTCACGGTTCACATCTTCCCCTACACACCCACGGCCCTGGCTTCGACACATCCTGGTCGATACCAGGTCTCCAGAGACTCGCCACCATTGCGTCATAAGCCAAAAGTGGAATCTAAGATACCTATTGACTTCCTTTTTTTTGGGGGGGGGAGGGGTCGGCACTCGCAACAATATAAGATCATATGAGCGCGCGGGACACATTAATTAAACATTTTCAGTTGGGAGGAAATTTTGAATTTTTTGCCCGAGTGGCGGCCGCAGCCTACTTTAATCGATTTTTGGACCACCAAAGGACCTTTAACGTACGCAACTTGCACACGGGGCCTATGAAATTTTTCACCCTTTTCCAAGAAGGCTAGGTGTTAGATCTTACTTGCCTTAAGATTTGGGGTATGGCTGAAAAACAGCAGTAAGAAGGAGCCAAGGAGTAGCAGTAGAAAGGCTGCAAAAAGAGCCTGGAGCCTAGAGGAGGGAGCAAAGGAGGTGAGGGCGATGGGGGCAGAAAGTGGAGACGAAAACAGTCGACAGAATATTGTAAGAGATCAGGAAAGGGGGTGAAAGGATGACATTTTAGAGAAGGAATTTTCCCGTCGCTGTCCAGATTCTGTTGAATGAGAGGCGAACACCGTAACCCCTCGACCACGAGAGCTTCTTACGACATTAATGTGCTACCTCAGAATTACTAAGTTCTATCTGCTCAGTACCTAGTTTTGAAAAATCTAACATTAAAAAATGTCGTTTCACAACATGCCAAGCTTTTTCGAATGCAGCTCTTTGAATATCTTGATAACGACTCCGAATGACCCTACAATTTTGATAGAGCAGATAGAACATTTATTTGGTTCTGACTTCATGATTATAATAACTCAAAACGGCCTAAAAAGTCTGATAGAACTTGGTAATTTTAAGGTGGCGAATAGTCTATCTTCCACCTCCTCCCCCCACCCCTTTCCCCCTCC